AAAGCAAAACGTTTACAAACATCAGCCTAGCAAAATAAGCATACAAACCTCAAAAGGAGATACTAAAATCATCAAATCCAAACCTCAACATTCAACCAACAATATGCGAAAAAACAAAATCTGCTTTATTATATTGTATTCAATCCAAGACATGGATGAAGGTAAACTCAATCATTTTTCTATAAGGAAGGACTTCAACACATACTTGCATGCTAAAGCTAGCTGCATAAGTATCACATCTTTGCAGATTTTGGACAAGAGACCAATGAACCTACATACATGTGTCCTTCCTTCTGTTTTGATTGAAATTAAGTTAAACGTACAGTTACATGTATGTCTAGCAACAGAATTGAGCTGAATGCACAGTTAATGAAGTAGAAAACATAGGTCACAGTGACCTACATTTGATATACTGATGTATATAGGTCACAGTAACTTACATTTGATATGCTGATGTATATAGGTCACCGTGACCTACATTTGATACACTGATGTATATAGGTCACAGTGACCTACATTTGATGTGCTGATGCATATAAGTCACAGTGACCTACATATGCCATACTGATGTTCTCAAGATGTATCTATACATGAAGTTTGTCGGACTTCTTGTATTTGCGTAATGGAGCTGAACTCAAAGACTAACAAAGACGTTATAAGGACAGATGGACTGACAAATATGGCAACCATTTCATACTCCTCCGGCAATGTTGCGGAGCTATAATGAAATTTTAGGAGTTGTCAGATAAAACTTTACCAATATCAATCTTACTGGGCACCACTCCTCCAGGGGTCAACCTCTTCATCAAAAACTCAACCCCCTTGACATTGGTATGCTTCCTGTCAAGGATGTGCATTAGACAGAGTGTCAAAGTTGCCTTACTAATTCCAGCTAGAGAAAATTTTCCTTTTGCTCAGCTGGAGATCAGAAAATCTGGGGTCACAGGTTCTGAATGCACATATTCTTTTCACTACTTCCTTCCCATTAATTTAACCTAAGATCTGTCTACCAATTTATCAAGAGTGGTATGTGTACTGGGCCACCTTGATCTCTGTCCCAGAGTAAATGCCAGCCTTACTGATGCATGAATCTTGAATATCAAAAGGCCAATAGACACAGGATACAGAGAAGCTCAAGGTTACTATTACTTATGATTACCTGTTGAGTGAACGTAGGTTTCCAGGTGTGAGTTGGGTGTCACGCCTACGTGAGTGACAGTACGTGCTGACAAATTCTCCCCAACATTGCCGACCATCAATGCAACCAAGTCAGACACACTCTGGCTGTTACCAACATCAAGGGCATCAAGCTTGTCTTTAGGGAGGCATATCTATACAATACAAAAAATAATTCATCTTAAAAAGACACCTATTACAGAATAGAAAAGTCTCCACTTATTAGCCAATTTGCATACTGAATTTGCATTGAACTTACTTGACCTTTGACCTAGAGGTGAACGTCAAATTGGCCTAAATACAGGGCACTGTACACATTCTGCGAGTAATGCAATTTTTATTAAAGTTTCTTCAAGATGTCATCAAACCTTTCAAATTTACACCAAAGACAAGATTTTACTGAAACTTTTGCACTTAGTTGACCTAACATGTATTTGACCTTTGACCTAGCAGTAAAGGCCATGGTGACCAATAAAGACTAGTGTAAACCTCTGGGGGATTCATACACACTGAAAGTATCATCAAAATATCTGTAATGGTTTAAAGGTTACAGCTCAGAGAAGATTTCACTGCAAAATATAATTATGTGACCTTTGACCTTTGATGAAGGCCACTGGGACGTACATTCCATGTGCTAGATACTTTGTATGGGTGATGTAGGTATACTTCAAGTTTCATCAAGATATCTTTTAAGAGTTTAGAAGATACAGCCCAGACAAGTGCTTTAAGTGAAAATATATCACTGCTGATTATATTCTTCAATACTCCTTTAATCAAGAACACCTTTATCTCAAATATTAATCCCAAATACATATTTTCTCAAATACTCAGTTTCTTTTAAAGACTGCTTTACCCAATTCACAAATACTCCTTTATCTTAAGATCACCTTTTTTCTCAAATAATCCCCAATACATATCATCTCAAATAATCCCAAATACATATCACCTCAAATAATCCCCAAAACAAATTTTTCAAGCAATCCCCAAAACACCTTTATCTTAAATAATCCCAAATACAGATGTTTTAAATAATCCCCAAAATACTTTTTATCTCAAATAATCTGAAAAAAATACCTTTATCTCAAATAATCAAAACACAACTCTTTATCTCAAAATCAATTTATTGCAATACTCTTTTATCTCAAATACTCAATTAATATCAAACTTTTTCCATGGTCTGAACCACTCTGACATGAGGTTTGACTATATTATATCCGTGGAAATTTAAAATCCATGGAATTCCACCAATTTCCATGGAAAGTTTATAGTGCCTATAAAGAGGTTTGATGGTTCATGCGAAGTAAACAAAAATAACTACAGTAAATTATGCTGTTTATTTTTATTTATAATAGAAACATAAAAATGAAACACTTGCACATATTAATAAGCACCTGTATTTTAGACACATCACCGACGGGGTACATTCCCCTTGTATTAATGCCCCTCACTTAACTTGCATTCTCAATCATTGGCAATGTAATGTCTATCAAATCATTTGCATTCTCACTTATTGTCAGTATAATGTCCATCAATTCAGTTGCATTCTCACTTATTGTCAGTATAATGTCCATCAATCATTTGCATTCTCACCTATTGTCAGTATAATGTCCATCAATCATTTGCATTCTCACTTATTGTCAGTATAATGTCCATCAATCATTTGCATTCTCACTTATTGTCAGTATAATGTCCATCAATCATTTGCATTCTCACTAATTGTCAGTATAATGTCCATCAATCATTTGCATTCTCACTAATTGTCAGTATAATGTCCATCAATCATTTGCATTCTCACCTATTGTCAGTATAATGTCCATCAATCATTTGCATTCTCACCTATTGTCAGTATAATGTCCATCAATCATTTGCATTCTCACTTATTGTCAGTATAATGTCCATCAATCATTTGCATTCTCACTAATTGTCAGTATAATGTCCATCAATCATTTGCATTCTCACTAATTGTCAGTATAATGTCCATCAATCATTTGCATTCTCACTTATTGTCAGTATAATGTCCATCAATCATTTGCATTCTCACTTATTGTCAGTATAATGTCCATCAATCATTTGCATTCTCACTAATTGTCAGTATAATGTCCATCAATCATTTGCATTCTCACTAATTGTCAGTATAATGTCCATCAATTCAGTTGCATTCTCACTTATTGTCAGTATAATGTCCATCAATCATTTGCATTCTCACTAATTGTCAGTATAATGTCCATCAATCATTTGCATTCTCACTAATTGTCAGTATAATGTCCATCAATCATTTGCATTCTCACCTATTGTCAGTATAATGTCCATCAATCATTTGCATTCTCACCTATTGTCAGTATAATGTCCATCAATCATTTGCATTCTCACCTATTGTCAGTATAATGTCCATCAATCATTTGCATTCTCACCTATTGTCAGTATAATGTCCATCAATCATTTGCATTCTCACCTATTGTCAGTATAATGTCCATCAATCATTTGCATTCTCACCTATTGTCAGTATAATGTCCATCAATCATTTGCATTCTCACCTATTGTCAGTATAATGTCCATCAATCATTTGCATTCTCACCTATTGTCAGTATAATGTCCATCAATCATTTGCATTCTCACCTATTGTCAGTATAATGTCCATCAATCATTTGCATTCTCACCTATTGTCAGTATAATGTCCATCAATCATTTGCATTCTCACCTATTGTCAGTATAATGTCCATCAATCATTTGCATTCTCACCTATTGTCAGTATAATGTCCATCAATCATTTGCATTCTCACCTATTGTCAGTATAATGTCCATCAATCATTTGCATTCTCACCTATTGTCAGTATAATGTCCATCAATCATTTGCATTCTCACCTATTGTCAGTATAATGTCCATCAATCATTTGCATTCTCACCTATTGTCAGTATAATGTCCATCAATCATTTGCATTCTCACCTATTGTCAGTATAATGTCCATCAATCATTTGCATTCTCACCTATTGTCAGTATAATGTCCATCAGTCATTTTCATTCTCACCTATTGTCAGTATAATGTCCATCAATTCATTTGCCACCTCTCTTACTGCCTGTATTATGCCCCAGTTTCACACTACAATATGAACACCTATATCAAATCATCATCAGTTACCAACAGCCACGAAAACCAGCTGGAAACTGATCTCGTGAAATACAATGTACATGATATCAGAAAGATTTTTTTTTATAAAATCTTAAAACTGTGAATAGCAATAACAGTATTTTCTATTACAAGAAAATATAGGCATTTTGACTTTTTTTTCATCCCCAATTAAAGATACTAAAATCAAACTATTATTTTGCAATAATCTGCAACTTTGATATATGAATCAGGCTCTCGGACGGCAGTGTGCAAATATTATGTCAATACAAGCATAATAGGAGTTTGAATCAGACTACTGAGTTATATACGATTTAATTATATTTTATGGTCAACCTTTCAAAAAAATAATGAGGATGATAAGCTACTATCATATGGAATGGAGGCACGGTAGTCTAGTGGTAGGACGGACGCCAGGCTCGTGACCGAAGGGTTGAGGGTTCGAGTCACGTCACGGCACTGTGTTGTATCTTTGAGCAAGATACTTTACTCCGCTTGTTCCAGTCTACTCAGCTGTAAATGAGTACATGGTTGGGCAGGGCTAGAATTGTTGAATGCTAGCTGTGAGCGTTGAAATGGCAGCACCGGCTGTATGCTCCCCAGGGAGTTGAGAAAGATATTGGCTGGGTGAATTTCAAAGGCCCTGTAACCACGGATAATAATTTGTGAACCGCTTTGAGAGGACCTATGAACTAGATTGTGATAGAGAGGTATATAAGAACCTCAAATTATTTTAATTATTATTATTAATGGATAACTGATCAGCTAAGTTCATGAAAATATACACTTTTGTCTTTGTCACTATCAAAACTGTGAACACTGTGTAAAAAGTATCTGTGTATATATCGTACCTTTGAACACGTGATAAAATAGCATCCACCTCTCTTGTAGATTTCCGGAGAAAAACGTCTTTTCTTTTTCTAACGCAAAATGATTTCCTGTGTGAAGATCTTGTGAAAACCTTGTGAAGATCTTATCAAGGTGGAATATATCCTGATAAAGACATAAGGACAAAACAGATAAGTCATCTCCTAGATTTCTGAAGGTAAGCAGCAACATTGTTTATCATTTTTTTGTCTTCAAGCTTTCCTTGCGACGTTTCGGTGAAGAGTTTGTGTATGCCCTGTGCACCAGCTTGACTGTGCACAAACTCTAAGTGATGCAGACCCAATCCTGTCCTGGCAATCTTGTCTGCAAGATGTTTTGTCAACAAATCTGCCTGAATCAATGGTTGTAGACTTACTTTACATTTGTCAGTCTGCTTTTTGTAAGCTACATAATCCTGGATATAGGAAAAAGTATAACTTGACTGGCACATCAGTGCGTCGGTTATCTTTTCCGATTTCACCAGTTTCTGAAGTACTTCCGCATCCTGGTTTGCGTCGTGTGCTTGGTACACAATGCCTAGAAGATCAGTGACAAGAGACTCTAGATTGTGACGTGTTCGATTCGGGAGCACTTGCCTGAAAATTCGCAGAGTGTCTACAAAACCATCAACAATGCGTGAAACTTCTTGATCTTTGATTCCTGAAAGGCAGTTACACAAAACGAGGGCATCAAATAGAGCGTTGTGTGCTACCAGCACTGGAGAATGGAAGTGACTGAGCCAGTCTGCGAAGTCTGTCATACACTCGGTCGCCGAAACAGCTTGAACAGGTCTTTCATTTTTATATAGTTTTCCTTTTACAAAAGTAATTCCCGTCATCTGTGAGGCAACTTCATTGATGGGTTTGCCAGGAATAACATATCGGGTGAACAACTGATCGCCTGCCCTCGCCGACAGCTGGGTAATATCGGAGAATCCTGTAAAATCAACACAAATCCATGTGATACATTGATTTGTTAACTATGTACAACGATTTCATCATCAACTGTATTTTAGCCTTACAGTAAGTGATATTCATAATCGGCCAAATACAAACATGTATCTTACTTTATCTGACACCTATCTGGAAAGGTCGAAGACTTCTTCTGCTTAACTCCTGTTAGTATCTAGCAGTGACATAGGCTTAAAATCATGAATGACTCTGTCCAATTTAAAACTCCATGATATCCCAAACTAAAATTGATCATGAATTCTGTAGTCGATTAATCAGTTTACTAAACAAACAAACCAAAAGTTGACAAAGTTGACTAATCGGAACATCATTACTGTATTTAGCTTTTCTTTTCAGCCAATGTTATTTTCACGTACAAATTAAATTCATCTTTCCACTTCTAGTTTCTTTTATGACTGTGCTTAATTAATTACTTCCAGTGTGTAATTAATATATGTTTGTAGATTTTTTTGCATAGAAATTTTTCATTTCATGTTTAATTCATAAATTCAGTGTTAAAATTGCCAACAAAAGCTAGGTTGTCTGCAGAATTAACCTTCCATACCATTATCGGCTTTATACTTGATTGACACTGTTGTCTTTGCACTTACCTAGTCCAGTGGTTTCCAGATCAAAATATATCCAGGTATAGGCCCCATCAGGGAGCTTCTCCACTGTTGGTTTCGCAGTAACCTTCAGAATGTCGTTGTAATGAGACAAGAAACTACAAGAGTTCCCTCCCTTCTCACTGGGTTTCACCTTTGTATAATTGCTAGCTTGACTTGCTGCTTTTGACTTCCCTAAACATGGTCTCATGGTACTAAAATGTCTCCGCTCACAGGGAACACAGTAAGAGCCCATAGAAAGAAATATTTTCTTGTTCACCTATAGAAAATATAAGATGTTTCATTGTCAGCGATGTATCTGTATCTAATGTTGTATTTGTGGTTCATTTTTGAAAATTAAAATTGTTGCCTGATCAAAATTTCAAGACATCAATTATTTCAGTATTTACGTAATATTCCATAGGTGAACAAGGCTATATTTTTTTCTCAGAATCTATTTATTCATTAAACCTCAAAGACTTTTACAAGTTTTGAACACAACGGAAATATTCCCCGCAGTACTAGGTCTATACAATGCACAAACATTGTGGGTCAGATTTTGGTGGTTTTACACCTGGAAGCAGTGTTCGAACTTAACGGTACACCCATAGACAACCACCATGAAAATCACTTAAGGTCTATTGGAATCGTTTACTTCATAGACCAAGTCGTCTAGGAAGTTATTTTTTCTATGGTGCATTTAATTCAATGATAGATATAGTGGACAAATCCTTGTGAAATAACTTGTTTTCATTTATTATGACTCATATTTTCTATATTTCATGTTATTGAACACAGAAATATATATAATTAAAAATGTTAGGGTCAATTAAGGTCTGGTCTATCAAAAGTTCAACATGTTTACAAGAAATATGTATCTCATAGAAATATTTATCACATACCTGTTGAATCTTGATATAGTAATACAAGCAGTTTTCAGATCATGAAATACATCGTTCTGTTTTGCACATGTGTAATACGGAATGTTGTATTTACCTACTAGCCGGGACTACTTTTTATGGGAATCCCCTTGTCATGGAGAACTGAAAAGTTCCCGGTTTTGCAAAAAATATCAAAGTTTATAAAATCTTTGTATCGATCTCTACCAAATACGGAAGGTATGTGATAAAATGATTAAAAATTTCACGGTCAAGGTCTGGTCTATCAAAAGTTCAACATGTTTACAAGAAATATGTATCTCATAGAAATATGTATCTCATATCTCATAGAAATATGTATCTCATAGAAATATGTATCTCATAGAAATATGTATCTCATAGACCTATGAATCTCATAGAAATCTCATAGAAATATGTATCTCATAGAAATACGTATCTCATAGAAATATGGTCTATGATGTGTAAATCCTAAATTCTAAGACTGCTAGAAGATATTTGCAGGATTTATTTTTTTACAGGACACCATTGATATCAAATAGTCCCCACTTACTCATCAGAAGTTATTGTCAATAGTCCTGACTAGATTTATATCATTAGTAAATAATCAGTAAGTCTATCTAATTTTCTATCAGAAGGGCAATTACTTTTATTTTTGTGTTTAAACAAATTTGCCAGAAATCTAAAGGTTTATATATTTTTGGCAAATTTGTTTTAAACACAGGTTAACAACGATAATGGATTTTCAGACTGAAAACTAATCGTACTGAAATTACAAGGGCCTACAATTGTAAAAGATCAGTACTTGAAATAGTACTAAATTATTTCCTTCATGGTGATTAGGTACGTAACTTGACTCATCTTAATACATCAATGTATAACCACTCCTGTCAAAATTGTTTATCGTTTAAAAACATTAACTGAGCTTTGAAAGTTAAACAAATCCTACACCATATATACTCAGTAACCTATAAAGCATCGAACATGTGACCTCAACCGCATGATTTCATTGGATGATTCACATTCATAATCATATGTAAATTTAATCAGATGGCCGTTTGTTAAACTTTAGCATCAAGGAAGTGTGTTGGTGAAAACCGCCGAAAGGTTGTCTCGTCAAAGCTGAAGTTTGGTAGCAATTTTGTACAATAAAAAAGAATGAAAAGTGAACACCTTTACCAATGCTTTCTCACAACTTCTAAAGCAAAACAGCAGTTATTCAATTTGATGATATATTTTCTTGATTTAACAATCAGCATGTTTTCACATCAAAACTCCAGTGAAAATTTTTTGATTTTTTTTACATGCTCTAAAAGTTCTGAATTGTTTATGTTAGTAAAATTTAACAAGAGGCCCAAAGGGTCTGTATCGCTCGCCTGGATATTTGAGCAATCATAGGAAAATGTTCTCCATAAAAATATTTTTTGCAAATATTTCCATATGTTGAGTCTCCTTAAGTTAAGAATGTTCCAAACTAAACAAAACTGTATACTACTCTATCCCAGCATGCTACTGGTCATGATCAAATATCATCACCCTGGGCCTCCTGGTTATTCAGAAGATGATATTTTTTAAATTTTCTAAATATTTGACTCCTGTGACCTTGAACATAAGTCAAGGTCATTTATTTGAGAGAAGAAGTTGTTTAAATGTTTTTAACATGTTTGACCCGACCTTTGTACCTACATTGTACTTGCCAAATATGATGGCCCTAGGTCTTCCAGTTCTTAAGAAGATGTCCTTCAAACAACACATCATACCATAAGCTCAACTGGCACTTCATATAATATTTTAAACTTAAACCTTTATCTTAATGTGAAATAACTTGTACTAGATGGTGAAATAGTCTACCTGAGTACTAGTCAGTGAAATAGCCGACCCGAGTATGTACTAGTCACAGAAATAGTCTACCTCAGTACTAGTCAGTAAAATAGCCTACCTGAGTACTAGTCAGTGAAATGGCCTACCTCAGTACTAGTCAGTGAAATAGCCTACCTACATGAGTACTAGTCAGTGTCAGAAATAGCCTACCTGAGTACTAGTCAGTGAAATAGCCTACCTGAGTACTAGTCAGTGTCAGAAATAGCCTCCCTGAGTACTAGTCAGTGAAATAGCCTACCTGCATGAGTATTAGTCAGTGAAAAAGCCTACCTGCATGAGTACTAGTCAGTGTCAGAAATAGCCTACCTGAGTACTAGTCAGTGAAATAGCCTACTTGAGTACTAGTCAGTGAAATAGCCTACCTGCACGAGTACTAGTCAGTGAACTTAGCCTACCTGAGTACTAGTCGGTGTCAGAAATAGCCTACTTGAGTACTAGTCAGTGAAATAGTCTACCTGAGTACCAGTCAGTGAAATAGCCTACCTGAGTACTAGTCAGTGAAATAGCCTACCTGAGTACTAATCAGTGAAATAGCCTACCTGAGTACTAGTCGGTGCAGCCATGAAGTATCTGTGACAGCCTGAAGCTACTTTGGATACAAGATCTTGAAACTTCTCATTTTTGGAGACAAAATCGGTTTCACAGTTGATCTGTAAAGGAAGAAATTTAACAGCTACAACATATGTTTACTGGCTTCAATCGAAAAATACAATCTATACTGCTGACAAGAACCTTCCACATAATTATCAAAATATCTGACAGTGTAAGGTTTTGCATTCATTGACAATACTTTTAACAATCCTCCTCTACATAGCTGTCAAACCTCCCTCATTTTGACTAAAATTTAACTATCTCCCTCAAACCTCCCTCATTTTGACTGAAATTTAACTATCTCCCTCAAACCTCCCTCATTTTGACTAAAATTTAACTATCTCCCTCAAACCTCCCTCATTCTGACTAAAATTTAACTATCTCCCTCAAAACTCCCTCATTCAAGTCCAAACTCACACAAACTCAAAAACTACATGCTGTTGTCAAATGATCTCCTAGTTACTGCAGGATGTATTTAATTGTCACAACAGGTGTGTCTAAATGAATGCTTTTTGGAGTTATTTTGATACATAACAAGCCATTCGGATTGATGTGTCTCACCTATGCCCCCCTTTGACCATCAATGCACATATCAGAGAAACTAAGTTAAACGCAAAAACTTAATAAGTTAATGTTCATTGAAATGCTTACAAAAACTTAATAAGTTCATGCTCATTGCAATGCTGACAAAGTCAATGGACCATGAAAGGTATGCCGCATCCAGCATTTGATGCATGGGTTGAGATGTACTACCTAAGATGCATCTATGGTCTAAGTTTGGTTGGTGTAGCACTTATACTTTCAGAGAAACTAACTTAAACACAAAAACTGAATGTTGACGCGGCTGCCTGAAAAGCAACACCAAATTCTTGCTTCCACTTCGTTGCGGCGAGACAAAAAAGGAAAGATAAATTGAGCAAAGGAGTTTCAGTCGCATTTCACGCACTTTCTCCCTCATTGGAAATGTGGAACGAGACCAGGGAGATCTCTTTCATTGGAGGTTTCAGAGGTTGACACCTATGAATACAGATCCAATTAATTACAGATCATTTTGGTTTCTTAAATTTCTCCTAAGTAGAAAACTCTTGATTCTGAAGGGCGTCCCAATAGGCCATATCTGTCGCCTCTAATGATAACATGCTGTAGGATACATAGGTCTATTCTTTCCTCAAACCTGCTGGGTAGTCAGAAAACCTGTTACAATCTACAGCTTACATACCTATATATATATAGTTATTCAATCCTAGTAACATTCATTGTGTTGTGGCAGATTTTTAATTGTACATAGGATTACGGCAAGTTTTCCCTTTAGCCCAGTGGTAGAGCGTCCGACCAGGAACATGGAGATCAAGGGTTCCTGTTACAAATGGTGCCACGACCAGGATTGTGGTGTTCCTGTTACAAATGGTGCCACGACCAGGATTGTGGTGTTCCTGTTACAAATGGTGCCACGACCAGGATTTTGGTGTTCCTGTTACAAATGGTGCCACGACCAGGATTTTGGTGTTCCTGTTACAAATGGTGCCACGACCAGGATTGTGGTGTTCCTGTTACAAATGGTGCCACGACCAGGATTGTGGTGTCCCTGTTACAGGACAACTTTATAGAACCGTAAACTCACCTCAACCACTGTTGCTCGCTGATTGTCAGACACCACCCCGACTAATCCCTGTGACATTGGACGACCTTGTAACTTCGTCGCTTTGGCCCATCCCTCCTTCTGGGCTTCTTTCAACAACCACTGCTCTGCCTGTAAAATGCAGTGTCACTTTAACTGTTACCAAGGCAGGTACATAACGTAGATCTCAAATACACTTGTAAAGTCAATTATTGATCCACTGAAACACATGTCTAAACACATATTGTCTGGGATAATTATATGACCATGAAGTATCCGACATACCGGGTATTTATAATGTCAGGGAAAGTTCATCTACACATGGACTCATCTTTAAAATTTACAAATCACATTCAAGATTAATTATAAGAAAATGTTCCTGTTATACACAGAGAACTGTTGATATATGGAACAATCATTCGTCTAATGTTGTGAATTAAAGCACAGTTAAACAACTTGAATATAAATTAGATGAACACTAGCAAAATCAAGTGCAGAAATAAAGTTTTAAAGAAAAAAGTTGAAATCTAAACGTTGCAACTTTTAAAATGTTTTTATTTTATTATTTTTATTTCAGAGCTGACTGTCAAAGGATTGTGAAATCCTGAATTTGTCAGAATAAAATCTTTGTATCTTTATGTATATAATTTTAACTTCCTCATCCATTACTTATGAAGACTTTTCAAAATAAAAACAGTGCATCTTTAGTTAAGTAGGGACAGAATATAGAGATTGGTTCATCACATTGGAGACTTCCTGGTTTTGATTTTCATTGGTGGCTTAATTGTTCTAGGAACAAAAGGCTGACATTGGCCTAGCCTGTTTTCTCATGCTATTCATTTCTTAATATCAATTCTAAGATTGAGATGATTAATCCAGACTTTTGCCAAGAACACTAAATAAATCAAACTGAAAGTCCCTGTTTGGACAATTTATTGAGGATCTTATTCAGGGCTGGAAAAACACTATAACGGTTTGATCCATTACACATACAGTATCAGTATACACTCAGTTTTTTTTCACTTTTGGCAAATAAAAATGAATTCCAGTAGGGACCACATATCTGAAACAAATTACCTTGTCAATGTCATTATCAAACTTCTCTAAAGCTTTCCTGCAATTCATGAATGCAATCCCTGTTTTCTTCCTGAGCTTGCTGAGACTGGCTTTGTCCACTGCTGTTGTGTAGCTCCTGATGATGCCCAGGAACTGCTGGTTATAGCAAGGTTTGAGTATATCTACAAACATAAAAGTTGTGTACAACTGTCATCAGTCTGAAATATCCAATCATAATTAAGTGTTGAGATATATAAGGCAAAACCTGAAGTCCAAAAAACATGTATGTTTCAGATACCCCGACCGACTTTTACCTCCAACCCCAATCTGATTAAAACCAGATCTTTGATTCCACTCCCGATACTCTACGTTCCAGTCTCTCTTTGACTTGAATGTAGAGTATCGGGAGTGGAATCAAAGATCTGGTTTTAATCAGATTGCTCCAACCTTAACAAAGAACTTAATTATAAACAACTCATTTGAATGCACCGAAAATCATAATAATTTTTATGACACCTCTCTATTTTATTGGCAGGTATCAAAACTAAATTTAAATCCCATATCATTATTTAAAGGACCTTAGTTAAAAATATCATGAAAAATTAATACCATTGGTCTAGATCTGAATACACTTTTTTTATAGTGAATACAATTCTGCCCGGGCACATAGTTATACCTATATATATATACAGTGATCAATCTACATTTCATTTTCCATTGTATTGTTGAAAACTATATGGACCCTATAATATTAAAATTTCAGCGAGATATCATGTACTAATATAATATGTCCTGCATCAAAAATCTGTGAGTCTAGGACACAGGTGCTCGGGTTCCGGAATATCTGTGATATAGTATGATTTATAAGCGGGTGCGATATCTAGTGGGTGCGATTATATCACATATATTCCGGAACCCGAGCACCTGTGGTCTAGGACTCTATACTGGTATAGGTAAGGAAATCAGCAAATTAGTTATCAATAATTATAGACTCTTTAGACTCATACATGGTCATTCCAGAACCCGAGCACCTGTGGTTTTCCAGCCTTCGTCGTATACTCAAATGTCACCTATGTGTCAGTGCACATGTACACGGCCACATATATATGTACCGGGTAGACAGGCCTACCGGTTGACCGGTCCCTCCCTCATCCCATTTTTATCTCAATTACGGTAAGATTTATGCACCATTTGCAAAATTTAAAACTTGGGATTGAAATATGCAAAACGTACAATCGATCTACGAGTAAGTCGTCATTTACACACTTACTTCGTATCATGATGATTTTCAATCTTGCAGCAACTCTCAAAAACGTGTTTCCGGTTTCTTATGCAAGATCTTGGTCACATCAACCCTTAGATTTAAAGAATGACTTATTAGAGCGTTGAATTGACATTGAGCTGAAACCACGTTTCGCTGTCATCGTTCAAGAACTATTTTCTTTAAATAATTTTGTATTGTTTACAGGCAGTATGGAAGATGAAAATACAAATCATGATAATGTCGAAGACGAGTTTTCCCTCAATCCTGATGATATCGTTGAAGTAATCGAGCTTGAAGATGAAGACGAAGGTAAGAGTTGCACTTGATTGTGAAACAGATGCATGATGAGATGATATACTGTATTATAGCTAGGCCTATATCGATGTCGATTTTGTAGTAAATGTGTTATGTGTGTTTGTGAATTTGTCTGCGTATCATTTTCCTATAACAACAAACTATCAATTCACGGTACTGTCATTAAAAGGATTGGAATTCTTTACAGTAAGTTTGAGTAGCTCTCATGATCAGGTCCAGTACACTCTGCCGATTCCCCGCTATAAAGACCTATAAATTATAGCTGTATTGAGCTATATTTTCTCGGATTTCAATTTTCATTAAATTAAAGCAAAGTCGCATAAAACAATAAGGTTTATGGTAATGTTGACTTCAAAAAGCATACATTTAGATGTTTAATGTAAAATTTCCGATTTTTTATACATCATTATTTTTTTAAAGGAATACTTATATTTAATGTCTTTTGTTATCAAAATAATGATAAAATCTTCTTTCTAAAGCGACTTTGTTTCGTTTTCCTTAAAAAAGAAAATCACACGAAAATAGTTCAAAAGACCTATTTCAGATAGCTTATAATTATAGGTCATTAGAGCTCGTTTTGGTCTTTACAGCTAAATTAAGCTCATTCGGCAAAGTGTACTGGACCTCAGTGACTGAAGCTGCGATAATGTAGCTACATGACGACGAGATTTTTTTTTATATATTGAGAGGAGGCCGTTAGTACTAGGCTATAGCTCATGCATTATGTCAATACCATTTATGATGTTTCAGAAATAATTTATGATGTATCATAGGCTTACATGTAAATCAAGTTAACATCTGCTCACTTGAATATCCACAGCAGTATATATATGTTTGACGACAAGGGAAATTATTGAATGAACCACAGACTTATATATAGATAGCATTCAATCTGATTCCGTGAGCGAATTGAAATTAACACACTTTTCTATACTAAACAGATGTTTCTCATGCTGTTAATGAGATGGATCTCCAAAATGAGGAGGAAGCTGACGAGTTTGAGGATGAGTTAGAAGCTAGGGGAGGCAGTCAAGTGAAAGATGATGCAAGTGTTGTCTTCTCCAATCATACAGGTAAAGCAGGAAAATACACGGCCATACAGGGGTTTGAATCCTTGACCTTCCGAACTCTAGACAGACGCTCTTCCAATTGTCATACCATATGCATCGTCGCTGACGATCGCCCCAGTCCAGTTTCATTAAATTCCTACCTGTTTTTTCTAAGTCTTTGCCTTCGAAAATAACACTATTTACAATCCATATTCAGATATCCTGTTGTCAAGCGATTATTTCACCCAGTACTTAAAAAGGGTTGGTCACAAGCACCAAATGTGATAGGAGAGGAAAAAGCATGACCAACCCAGCTAGGTTTGAACCAGTGATCCTCAAAACTCTAGTCGGACACTCTACTAGTTGAACTACCTGGTCTCTGAGTATCGACCGATTCCAGTTCCGCTACAGTTGAATTTCAAAACATACAGGTGTTAGAACTACATGTACAAGGTGCTTTATAGCTGGTAAGACTAAGATATAATGCAAAATATACAAGTGGTAAGGAGCGATACATTACTCAACGTTCAGTGAAGTTAAGATTTAGCCATACAATTATAGCTCCATCCAGATATAAATATGTATATTTAAATAGAACTCTCAACAATGTAAATAGAATCTGCAACCAGATGTATACAAATATGAAAATGGATTGCCTAACAATAAGAGTTGAATTCACTCAAACCAAATTTGTATTAATACACCTCAGCTTAAAGTTGAGATTCATGGCAGGGCTCACCATGGACCTAAAAAATCAGTAGCCAAAAAAATAGCCATGTTTGAATTTCAGTAGCCAAATTTTTTAAACAGTGGCCATACTTTCTCGGCCTCCAACCATTACGGATGGGCACCAAAAGGATGGGTTTTTTTCAGGGGCCAAAATTAAAAGAGCTTTCTCAGGAATGTTTTATGTTGATTGTCAAAATGTATTGGGTTTTATTGCTACAGGAGGTTGACATGTGGTAGGTTGTACGTATGATTACCACTGCCTTTTACCTTTACTCTAGAGCGATCGAATTACGAAACAAAAAGTTAGTGTCAAACCATGAAATTATAGGTACCGGTATGTGCTTCTCTAATCCTAATGTACATTTGATAATAAATCACAGTGGGTGGTCTGGTGGTGCAGTGGTTGGCACTCTCACCTTTCATCAAGACACCCAGGGTTCGATTCCTTGATCGGACAGGAAATGATATTGAGTTGCCATTAATTATATATTTATATTTATTTGTTACGGAAAGGATGTAAGAAAAAAATTGAAATAACTTTTGTCCAATCCATTTATATTTTGTTACAATAAAATTGATTTAAACTAAAAGTTGCCTGCATGCATGCTTGTATGAACATGTGGGTTTTCTCCAGGTACTCTGGTTTCCTCCCACATTAAGACCCTCTGTATGCTAATTACATCCAGGCCAACAAGAGTCATTCATATCAGTTTATATGATTTGTTTCATAATTATTGTAAAATAAATAAAGTTTATATTCACTCTTTAAACAAACGCCTAAATAACACAGGTAAATTCAATTTCCATCCATTTTCCATAATTTCCATAATTTAATATTCAGTCAATAAGAATGTGCTTGAATTTAACAGTTGTATTTTACTCTAACTAGTTTTTGTTTCAGATGCTGTGTTTAGTGTAGGCATTGATCCACATGAAGGAAAAATGGTGGTGACTGGTGGTCAAGATGACAAGGCTTACATTTGGTCAGCGACAGATGGGGAATGCATCATGGAGTGTGGAGGTGATTTATATATGTAATAAATAAACACTTACTTGAATCTTAAAATAATCTATGAAATAATTTTATCGACCTGCAAAAATTTGCTTCATAAAACAATTTTATTGGCAGTTCTTATTTCAGAATAATTTCATGAACAAAAAGTCAAAAACACAGGGTGCAGAGAGCGATAAAGTGAGCAAAACCCCTGGATATCAAGGATGTATTTCATCGTGACAATGCAATTATTGCCACTTCATGTGGATTGTCTACACAATTAGATATGGATAGAAATCTACACCAGCAAAAATATGGATAGAAATCTCCTGTACTGCAGATGAATATGTCCACAGTTCTATTGTACAAAGGTTTCCAGATTATGCAGTGAATACTAATCAGAATAAGATTCATCAGTTTGGTATGAAAAACAAGGCCAAGTTTATTTTGAACACAAATAGGAAATGAAAACTAAAATTGCGAACTTTCGTAAACATCTGTTGATGATTGCAAATGGCCAGTGCCAAATAAGTTTTCAGTTCCTGTTTGTGTTAAAAACAAACTTAGCTTTTATCATTGGATACTAGTTTTCTGATTGTTTATCAGTGGTTCTAGTTTTATGATTGTTTATCAGTGGATACTAATTTTATGATTGTTTATCAGTGGATACTAATTTTATGATTGTCTATCAGTGGATACTAGTTTTCTTATTGTTTATCAGTGGATACTGGTTTTCTGATTGTTTATCATTGGATACTAGTTTTCTGATTGTTTATCAGTGGATACTAGTTTTCTGATTGTTTATCAGTGGATACTAATTTTATGATTGTTTATCAGAGGATACTTGTTTTCTGATTGTCTATCAGTGGATACTAGTTTTCTGATCGTTTATCAGTGGATACTAATTTTATGATTGTCTATCAGTGGATACTGGTTTTCTGATTGTTTATCAGTGGATACTGGTTTTCTGATTGTTTATCAGTGGATACTAGTTTTCTGATTGTCTATCAGTGGATACTAGTTTTCTGATTGTCTATCAGTGGATATTTGTTTTCTGATTGTTTATCAGTGGATACTAGTTTTCTGATTGTTTATCAGTGGATACTAGTTTCCTGATTGTTTAACAGTGGATACTAGTTTTATGATTGTTTATCAGTGGATACTAGTTTTCTGATTATTTATCAGTTGATACTTGTTTTCTGATTGTTTATCAGTGGATACTGGTTTTCTGATTGTTTATCAGTGGATACAAGTTTTCTGATTGTCTATCAGTGGATACTAGTTTTATGATTGTTTATCAGTAGATACTAGTTTTCTGATTGTTTATCAGTAGATACTAGTTTTCTGATTGTTTATCAGTGGATACTAGTTTTCTGATTGTTTATCAGTGGATACTAGTTTTCTGATTGTTTATCAGTGGATACTAGTTTTCTGATTGTTTATCAGTGGATACTAGTTTTCTGATTGTTTATCAGTGGATACTAGTTTTCTGATTGTTTATCAGTGGATACTAGTTTTCTGATTGTTTATCAGTGGATACTAGTTTTCTGATTGTTTATCAGTGGATACTAGTTTTCTGATTGTTTATCAGTGGATACTAGTTTTCTGATTGTTTATCAGTGGATACTAGTTTTCTGATTGTTTATCAGTGGATACTAGTTTTCTGATTGTTTATCAGTGGATACTAGTTTTCTGATTGTTTATCAGTGGATACTAGTTTTCTGATTGTTTATCAGTGGATACTAGTTTTCTGATTGTTTATCAGTGGATACTAGTTTTCTGATTGTTTATCAGTGGATACTAGTTTTCTGATTGTTTATCAGTGGATACTAGTTTTCTGATTGTTTATCAGTGGATACTAGTTTTCTGATTGTTTATCAGTGGATACTAGTTTTCTGATTGTTTATCAGTGGATACTAGTTTTCTGATTGTTTATCAGTGGATACTAGTTTTCTGATTGTTTATCAGTGGATACTAGTTTTCTGATTGTTTATCAGTGGATACTAGTTTTCTGATTGTTTATCAGTGGATACTAGTTTTCTGATTGTTTATCAGTAGATACTAGTTTTCTGATTGTTTATCAGTGGATACTAGTTTTCTGATTGTTTATCAGTGGATACTAGTTTTCTGATTGTTTATCAGTGGATACTAGTTTTCTGATTGTTTATCAGTGGATACTAGTTTTCTGATTGTTTATCAGTGGATACTAGTTTTCTGATTGTTTATCAGTGGATACTAGTTTTCTGATTGTTTATCAGTGGATACTAGTTTTCTGATTGTTTATCAGTGGATACTAGTTTTCTGATTGTTTATCAGTGGATACTAGTTTTCTGATTGTTTATCAGTGGATACTAGTTTTCTGATTGTTTATCAGTGGATACTAGTTTTCTGATTGTTTATCAGTGGATACTAGTTTTCTGATTGTTTATCAGTGGATACTAGTTTTCTGATTGTTTATCAGTGGATACTAGTTTTCTGATTGTTTATCAGTGGATACTAGTTTTCTGATTGTTTATCAGTGGATACTAGTTTTCTGATTGTTTATCAGTGGATACTAGTTTTCTGATTGTTTATCAGTGGATACTAGTTTTCTGATTGTTTATCAGTGGATACTAGTTTTCTGATTGTTTATCAGTGGATACTAGTTTTCTGATTGTTTATCAGTGGATACTAGTTTTCTGATTGTTTATCAGTGGATACTAGTTTTCTGATTGTTTATCAGTGGATACTAGTTTTCTGATTGTTTATCAGTGGATACTAGTTTTCTGATTGTTTATCAGTAGATACTAGTTTTCTGATTGTTTATCAGTGGATACTAGTTTTCTGATTGTTTATCAGTGGATACTAGTTTTCTGATTGTTTATCAGTGGATACTAGTTTTCTGATTGTTTATCAGTGGATACTAGTTTTCTGATTGTTTATCAGTGGATACTAGTTTTCTGATTGTTTATCAGTGGATACTAGTTTTCTGATTGTTTATCAGTGGATACTAGTTTTCTGATTGTTTATCAGTGGATACTAGTTTTCTGATTGTTTATCAGTGGATACTAGTTTTCTGATTGTTTATCAGTGGATACTAGTTTTCTGATTGTTTATCAGTGGATACTAGTTTTCTGATTGTTTATCAGTGGATACTAGTTTTCTGATTGTTTATCAGTGGATACTAGTTTTCTGATTGTTTATCAGTGGATACTAGTTTTCTGATTGTTTATCAGTGGATACTAGTTTTCTGATTGTTTATCAGTGGATACTAGTTTTCTGATTGTTTATCAGTGGATACTAGTTTTCTGATTGTTTATCAGTGGATACTAGTTTTCTGATTGTTTATCAGTGGATACTAGTTTTCTGATTGTTTATCAGTGGATACTAGTTTTCTGATTGTTTATCAGTGGATACTAGTTTTCTGATTGTTTATCAGTGGATACTAGTTTTCTGATTGTTTATCAGTGGATACTAGTTTTCTGATTGTTTATCAGTGGATACTAGTTTTCTGATTGTTTATCAGTAGATACTAGTTTTCTGATTGTTTATCAGTGGATACTAGTTTTCTGATTGTTTATCAGTGGATACTAGTTTTCTGATTGTTTATCAGTGGATACTAGTTTTCTGATTGTTTATCAGTGGATACTAGTTTTCTGATTGTTTATCAGTGGATACTAGTTTTCTGATTGTTTATCAGTGGATACTAGTTTTCTGATTGTTTATCAGTGGATACTAGTTTTCTGATTGTTTATCAGTGGATACTAGTTTTCTGATTGTTTATCAGTGGATACTAGTTTTCTGATTGTTTATCAGTGGATACTAGTTTTCTGATTGTTTATCAGTGGATACTAGTTTTCTGATTGTTTATCAGTGGATACTAGTTTTCTGATTGTTTATCAGTGGATACTAGTTTTCTGATTGTTTATCAGTGGATACTAGTTTTCTGATTGTTTATCAGTGGATACTAGTTTTCTGATTGTTTATCAGTGGATACTAGTTTTCTGATTGTTTATCAGTGGATACTAGTTTTCTGATTGTTTATCAGTGGATACTAGTTTTCTGATTGTTTATCAGTGGATACTAGTTTTCTGATTGTTTATCAGTGGATACTAGTTTTCTGATTGTTTATCAGTGGATACTAGTTTTCTGATTGTTTATCAGTGGATACTAGTTTTCTGATTGTTTATCAGTGGATACTAGTTTTCTGATTGTTTATCAGTGGATACTAGTTTTCTGATTGTTTATCAGTAGATACTAGTTTTCTGATTGTTTATCAGTGGATACTAGTTTTCTGATTGTTTATCAGTGGATACTAGTTTTCTGATTGTTTATCAGTGGATACTAGTTTTCTGATTGTTTATCAGTGGATACTAGTTTTCTGATTGTTTATCAGTGGATACTAGTTTTCTGATTGTTTATCAGTGGATACTAGTTTTCTGATTGTTTATCAGTGGATACTAGTTTTCTGATTGTTTATCAGTGGATACTAGTTTTCTGATTGTTTATCAGTGGATACTAGTTTTCTGATTGTTTATCAGTGGATACTAGTTTTCTGATTGTTTATCAGTGGATACTAGTTTTCTGATTGTTTATCAGTGGATACTAGTTTTCTGATTGTTTATCAGTGGATACTAGTTTTCTGATTGTTTATCAGTGGATACTAGTTTTCTGATTGTTTATCAGTGGATACTAGTTTTCTGATTGTTTATCAGTGGATACTAGTTTTCTGATTGTTTATCAGTGGATACTAGTTTTCTGATTGTTTATCAGTGGATACTAGTTTTCTGATTGTTTATCAGTGGATACTAGTTTTCTGATTGTTTATCAGTGGATACTAGTTTTCTGATTGTTTATCAGTGGATACTAGTTTTCTGATTGTTTATCAGTGGATACTAGTTTTCTGATTGTTTATCAGTGGATACTAGTTTTCTGATTGTTTATCAGTGGATACTAGTTTTCTGATTGTTTATCAGTGGATACTAGTTTTCTGATTGTTTATCAGTGGATACTAGTTTTCTGATTGTTTATCAGTGGATACTAGTTTTCTGATTGTTTATCAGTGGATACTAGTTTTCTGATTGTTTATCAGTAGATACTAGTTTTCTGATTGTTTATCAGTGGATACTAGTTTTCTGATTGTTTATCAGTGGATACTAGTTTTCTGATTGTTTATCAGTGGATACTAGTTTTCTGATTGTTTATCAGTGGATACTAGTTTTCTGATTGTTTATCAGTGGATACTAGTTTTCTGATTGTTTATCAGTGGATACTAGTTTTCTGATTGTTTATCAGTGGATACTAGTTTTCTGATTGTTTATCAGTGGATACTAGTTTTCTGATTGTTTATCAGTGGATACTAGTTTTCTGATTGTTTATCAGTGGATACTAGTTTTCTGATTGTTTATCAGTGGATACTAGTTTTCTGATTGTTTATCAGTGGATACTAGTTTTCTGATTGTTTATCAGTGGATACTAGTTTTCTGATTGTTTATCAGTGGATACTAGTTTTCTGATTGTTTATCAGTGGATACTAGTTTTCTGATTGTTTATCAGTGGATACTAGTTTTCTGATTGTTTATCAGTGGATACTAGTTTTCTGATTGTTTATCAGTGGATACAAGTTTTCTGATTGTCTATCAGTGGATATTTGTTTTCTGATTGTTTATCAGTGGATACTAGTTTTATGATTGTTTATCAGTGGATACTAGTTTTCTGATTGTTTTCCAGTGGATACTAGTTTTCTGGTTGTTTATCAGTAGATTCTAGTTTTCTGATTGTCTATCAGTGGATACTAGTTTTGTTATTGTTTTCCTCGGCAGGACACAAAGACTCTGTGACCTCTGTAGGATTTAGTTTTAACGGGGTATACGCGGCCACAGCTGACCTCAGTGGACTGGTCAAGGTGTGGAAAGTGGAGACGAAGGCTGAAGTGTGGTCATTTGAGTGTTCAGACATAGAGGTGAGTAAAATTGAATAAAATGAAGATATGATGGGGTAAATTCCCATGTTAGTTACCATTGTCTCTTGCTGTTTTCATTGAAAGGTTTATAAATATGTCTAGTTGGGTTGGGGGATGCATATTTCATCTTAAAAACAGATGGACCTATAGTCAGTTTGATAAGGTATATCCCATGATTTATAAACATGCGAACCCCACACATATCAACTGTTGTTGACTGTCTCATTCATGTAGAGGATATCTTAACTCTCAACTTCTGTCTACCAGCATGTTTCCTGTTCTTCAGTTGGATAAAGTAATATGTCAGGAACAAAGGATGTAACTTGCTTCAGACTTTTATTACATTTATATACATTTGTATTACCGTGGCACTTAATCCTTTTTGTTACCATACGTTACCATGGCTCCGTCACTTTTACTGTCTTTAGATTACCATGACAACCTAATATGCTTGGACTGATTCACCCCTGCAGTTTCACAATGAACTATTCCAACCTATGAATTAGAAGAGTTCAAATGAGTCTTTAGGGGTGAATGAGTTAAAGTGACACCCTCACTTCCTAGTTACCTTGGTTACGATGTCAGTGCCATTCTTTGTTTACCAGTGGTTACAGTGGCACCCACTGGCACCAGTGTTGTTGTCGGGCACCGTGGATGGTGATGTGTGGATGTGGAAGATTCCTGACGGTGATTGTAAGACGTTTCAGGGCCACGGCTGTACAGCAGGCGTGGGACGGATCCTACCTGATGGTATTTAAGACTTTTGTATATTTTTTTTAATTTCTCTTTGTGTGTGATCACAGAAATTAACTGAATTTTTCATCATGGTTCCTTACTCTGTGATCTTCTGTTTTCAAGGTCACACAATTGTGTCTTATTCACTCAAAGAATGTGTAACTCTGCCAACTCCTATTGTGGTCGACGTCACAAAAATATTTCTGTGGTTCTTTTTATTAGTAAGAATAAACATTAAGTTACCATAGATCTGGTGTATTTCATACACCTATACAATTTACAACGGTAAAAGTTTGAGCTAGAAAATAAAGGGGCCTAAACAATTACCCTAAAACATGAATTTCGTGTTGTGATAATTTTTGAAAGCCCATTCCATATTTCAACAAATAAAATTGCAAGAATCAAATATAAAATTAAATGTGACCTTACTGTCATATGTGTTTGTACAGGTTTGCATCATCATAAAGGCAGGTAATTTTTTTTCAATAATTTGTCTATAACATAGATTTCAACAGACTTCGCTTTGTATTTTCCAGGGAAGCGTGTATGTGTCGGATACGATGATGGTGCCATCAAGGTTTGGAACATGAAAACAGCTGACATGATGAAGACCATATCTGGTAGGTCTTATATATAGTACCTAACTTTGTATTAGTCGAGTTTTATCATTAAAACAGCTGACATGATGAAGACCATATCTGGTAGGTCTTATATATAGTACCTAACTTTGTATAAGTCTAGTTTGAACATGAAAACAGCTGACATGATGAAGACCATATCTGGTAGGTCTTAAATATAGTACCTAACTTTGTATAAGTCTAGTTTGATCATTAAAATAGCATAAGCAGATCTGAAATTTGCTTTTTACCATTAACTCATTCACCCCTGAAAGTTTATGATGAACTATTCCCACCTTTGAATTGGAAGAGTTCAAATGTGTCTTCAGGGGTAAAAAAATGAGTTAAAATGAGATTATCTCCCCTGCACTTCAGACCTCAAGGCAATATGCAGATGTGTAAAGTTGGGGCTCCCTCCTTTTCAGAAATTCTTCATCAATCACTTCATAATACAAAATGTAACACAATTGTATAATAAGAATGCAGAAAACAAATTCTGATTTGAATAATGACCTTTTTTTTGCCACCAAATTTCAAATATAGAGTTTAATGATGTTGTATTATCTGAAGGTAATTATTTTAAATCAGAGAATGATTTTGTTAACATCTGAAAACTAATTTAGGGTTATTCCAGGGGAATATATAACCCACCCCATCATATTTGAGATACGGTCACCACCTATTCAACTTGTGATCTAGTAGGCAAGTGATTTTATTTTTATGTCCATGAGCAGGGTAAATATTTAAATGGAATATTCCATGTCACCTTGCAAGTAAGATGTTTAATGCTCAGTCATGAAAAATTAATGTCTATAAAAATTAAGTAGTTGGCATTGTGCATTTTTTTTTATTTATTAAGAAATAAGTGTTTGATAAACCTGAAATTTAGATGTTGGTGATTTGACAGAGGTTTAGTTGAATTAACTCATTTACCCCTGCATATTTAAACTGGACTTGCCTAGTCTTTGATTTGGTAAGGTTCAAACATGACTTTAGGGGTGAACGGGTTAATGCTATGACATCACTCCATGTTGTTTGTAGGTCGAGACGGCCACTCCTCAACGGTGGTGTGTATGGATTGTCACCATGACAACTCGATGGTGATGACAGGGTCAACTGATGTCACGTCCAAGGTCGTTAACACCAGTACGGGGAAGGTTGGTACATAAATAATGGAGAAATAACAAAACAAGCCTCACAATCACGTCACAGACATTTTCCTTGTTGGGAAGCATTGTACTTTTGTGGTATCTCTTAAAGCTGGTCAGATATAAACCGTAAAACCTTGTTATACTGTCCAGTGAAAGTTTAGAGTTTCAAAACCTTGTTATACTGTCCAGTGAAAGTTTAGAGTTTCAAAACCTTGTTATACTGTCCAGTAAAAGGTTAGAGTTATATAGGGATTTGGCGATAAATTGAAGAAATTATACAAAGGAATACTTCAGAAAAAGAGAAAAGGGACCTTGTAATATGCTGGGGAAGCAAGGTGTCAAATGTCAGATGATGCATTATATATATTATATTGAGATTTTACTGTATTTGAAGATAAATGTTTTCCTTGTAGGTTCTGTCAACATTTAAATGTGAGTCAATGAAGGAAGGAGAAAACTCTGTAGAGGCCTGTGGTTTCTGTAAACAGTAAGTATTGATACCTCTGTAGAGGTCTGTGGTTTCTGTAGACAGTAGGTATTGATAACTCTGTAGAGGCCTGTGGTTTCTGTAAACAGTAGGTATTGATAACTCTGGAGAGGTCTGTGGTTTCTGTATAGAATAAGTATTGATAACTCTGTAGAGGCCTGTGGTTTCTGTAGACAGTATGTATCGATACCTCTGTAGAGGTCTGTGGTTTCTGTAGACAGTATGTATCGATACCTCTGTAGAGGACTGTGGTTTCTGTAGCCAGTAAGTATTGATATCTCTGTAGAGGCCTGTGAGTTCTGTATACAGTAAGTATTGATAAATCTGTAGAGGCCTGTGAGTTCTGTATACAGTAAGAATTGATACCTCTGTAAAGGTCTGTGGTTTCTGTAAACAGTAAGTATTGATAGCTCTGTAGAGGCCTGTGGGTTCTGTAGACAGTAACTATTGATAACTCAACAGCCCTGTTCTTTCTGTAGACAGTAGGTGTTGATAACTCTGTAGACGTCTGTGGTTTCTGTAAACAGTAAGTATTGATCCCTCTGTAGAGGCCTGTGGTTTCGGTAGACAGTATGTATCGATACCTCTGTAGAGGACTGTGGTTTCTGTAGCCAGTAAGTATTGATATCTCTGTAGAGGCCTGTGGCTTCTGTAGAAAGTAAGTATTGATAAATCTGTAGAGGCCTGTGGGGGGGGTAGACAGTATGTATTGATAACTCTGAGAGGCCTGTGGTTTCTCTAGACAGTAAGTATTGAGAACTCTGTAGAAGTCTGTGGATTCTGTAGACAGTAGGAATTGAAACATAAATTGAGGTCTGTGGTTTCTTTAGACAGTAAGTATTTATAACTCTGTAGAGGCATGTGGTTTCTGTACACAGTAAGTATTGATAACTCTGTAGAGGCCTGCAGTTTCTGTAGACAGTAAGTATTGATAACTCAACAGACCTGTTGTTTCTGTAGACAGTAAGTATTGATACCTCTGTAGAGGCCTGTGGTTTCTCTAGACAGTAAGTATTGATAACTCTGAGAGGCCTGTGGTTTCTGTAGACAGTAAGTTTTGAAAACTCTGTAGAGGCATGTGGTTTTTGTAGACAGTAAGTATTGATACATCTGTAGAGGTCTGTGGTTTCTGTAGACAATAAGTATTGATAACTCTGTAGAGGCCTGTGATTTCTGTAGACAGTAAGTATTGATAACTCTGTAGAGGCCTGTGAGTTCTGTATACAGTAAGTATTGATAACTCTGTAGAGATCTGCAGATTTATTTTAGAATATTCTAGTGTGATTCACCATTCTGTCTTAACTCCACAGCTTTTTGGCTCACCTATTCCGAAGGACTGGTGAGCTTATGCCAAGGCACGGCGTCCGTCGTCCGTCCGTCAACTTTTCCTTTAAAACACTACTAGTCCCAAACAGGCCAATAGATTTTGACTTTATTTGGTCTGAAGCACCCTTAGGTCAAGGGCAGTTACTTTTGTAGAAATGGTGTATGTGGCCTTCCTGGGGGCAGAGGGGCGGGCCCAATAGGGGAAATAGAGGTAAAATCTTGAAATGCCTTCTTCTACCATAGGAATGAAGGGATTTTATCCTTATTTAGTCTGGAGCATCCTTGGCCCAAGGCGACTAAATTTTGTACAAATTGTGGGTGTGGACCCCCTGGGGGCAGAGGGGTGGGTCCAAATAGGGGAAATAGAGGTAAAACCTTTAAAATCCTTCACCTACCTTAGGGATTAATGGATTTCATCCCAATTTGGTCTGGAGCATCTTAAGGCCAAGGGGACTTAATTTTGTATAAACAGTGATTTCGGACCCCTTGGGGGCAGAGGGGCAGGTCCAATGGGGGAAAATGGGGTAAAATCTTTCATATTCTTCTCCTACCATAGGGATAAATGGGTTTTATCCTAATTTGGCCTTGAGCATCCTTTGGCCAAGATGACTCAATTTTGTATAAACTGTGGGTGTGGCCTCTTTGGGTGCAGAGGGGCAGGGCTCAAAAGAGGAATTTGAGGTTTAAATCTTTAAAATCCTTCTTCTTACATGTACCATTTAGGTTTGACCTGGAGCATCCTTGGGCAAAGGCAACTGAAAAGTTTAATATGTAATGAAGGGAAAAGTTGTATTGGTTGCCTGTTTTTCAGAGATTATGCTAATATGTGAAATTTAAGTATTAAGTGGTCCTGGCCGTAACTGATGTATCAAAATGTGAGTGTGAACCACTGGTTGTGGCAGTACACACAGATGATGGGATTATGATAGCATAACCTTTTACAGATAACGTAACCTCTGGTTTATCATGACTTTCTAGGGACTTATAGAGTTTGGTAGAGAGCATACAGTAGCTGGCTATAGCATATTTCAGTGTAAACAAACATCTTCAAATAAGAAAGGTAGACTTGGGCCATTACAAATGAAGTTTAGCAAAACATATTCATTTTTAGCTCACCTGCCCAAAGGGCAAGTGAGCTTATGCCATGGTGCGGCGTCCGTCGTCCGGCATCCGTCTGTCCGGCATCAACTTTTTACTTAAACAACTTCTCTTCATTAACCAAAAGGCCTAGGATGATGATATTTGGCCAGTAGCATCCTGGAATCAAGCGCTACCAAGTTTGTTCAAATGAATGACCTTCATCTATTTTCAAGGTCACAGGGTTCAAACATGTTAAAAACCTTTGAACAACTTATTCTCAATAATCAAAATGCCTTGGATGATGATATTTGGCCAGTAACATGCTTGGATGAAGGGCTACCAAGTTTGTTCAAATGAATGACCTTCATCTATTTTCAAGGTCACAGGGGTCAAATATGTTAAATACCTTTGAACAACTTATTCTCAGTAACTGAAAGGCTAAGGGTGTTGATATTTGGCCAGTATCATGATTGGATGAAGGGCTACAAAGTTTGTTCAAACAAAAGACCTTCACCCATTTTCAAGTTCACAGGGGTCAAATATGTTTAAAACTACTTCTTTTCAATAACCAAGAGGCTGAGGGTTATAATATTTGGCCTGTAGCATGCTGGGATGAAGCACTACCAAGTTTGTTAATATGAATGACCTTGACAATTATTCAAGGTCACAATGGTCAAATATGTTTAAAACCTTTAAACAACATCTTTTCAATAATAAAGTCCTTGGATGATGCTGTTTGGCCAGTACCATGCTTAGATGAAGGACTACCAAGTTTATTCAAACGAATGACCTCAACATATATTGAAGGTCACTGGGGTCAAATATGTTTAAAACCTTTGTTTGTTTAAACGACCTCTTCTCAATAAGCAAAAGGCTAAGGGTGATGATATTTGGCCATTAACATGCTGGGATTAAGGACTACCGGGTTTTTTCAAATGAATGACCTTCACCCATATGCACGGTCACAGTGGTCAATATATGTTTAAATCTTTAAATGACTTGTTCTGTATAACCAAAAGGTCCAGGGTAATGATATTTTGCCAGAAGCATGCTTGGTTGGACGACTATAAACTCTGTTCAACCTTACGTCCTTGTTCGACATTCAAGGTCACAAGCGTCATATGTTTAAATCTTTTAATAGTTTCTTATGAGTCAAACACTGATATTCTGCCTGTAGCTGTATTTTAGTCCACTTTAAAGATTATTTGTGAGATTAATACCAGGTGAGCTATTCAAGCCCATTGGGCCTCTTGTTATTTTGTGTTTTTGTAACTTAAACAAGTAAAATTCTTGCTGTAAAAACACTGTTTTGCTTGTTGTTCCAGACAGACATGGGCAGCCACTGGAACACTACAGGGTACCCTCTGTATATGGGACCTGCCAACACAGATTGTTCGAAGCAACTGTCAACATGAGGTACGGCACCAAGTCTTAGAGAAAATTATTTTTCAACACAATTTTAATATATTTTAAAATATAATTTATGAGAGAAAAAATGTTTGTGATAGTTTTAATTAATAGCTTTGGACCTTGACTCTTCAATTCCTATATGGAACTGCCTTTTTACAAACAGGGACATTGCCTACCCTCCAAGTACATTTCAAATGAGATCAAATTATTTTTGTATGAAAACTTCATTCTCAGATGTTTTATGTCTTTAGTATACATGCAGGCATGTTTGTGTATACAAATATCTGTGTTATAGGCAGGTGTAGTCAGACTTAAGTGGGATCCCACTGCCCCCCTGGTATACACTGCGTGTCTGGACGGTGTTGTGCGTCTGTGGGACGGTCGCAATGGTCAGTGTGTCAACCAGTGGTCCGGTCACACAGACTCCATACTGGACCTGGACTTGTCAAGGTAATGTATACATGCTTGTATTTAATAAAACCTCTCCAGGCACACGATCATGTGATCGCTATAATACGCATCCCAGGTTCATGAAACAATTTTGGACTCAAAACCAAATTTTAAATGTCAATAAGATACAGAGGATATTCTAGGTTTCAATGTTAATAACAGGTACGGTATATACATGTAGTTCACGTCTGGGTCAAGCATTTTGGTGTTTAGTGAGAGTGAAAAATATTGTCTCTCAGATTTTGCATTCTTCCTATCATATGATGACTTAAATTCAAGATAGAAACAATAAGATATAAGAGTTACTTTAAAATTGTGACTCTGACATTTGGATACATGATAGTCTCTCTTACCAAATTTCTGTGAAAAGTTTTGGAAGTTATTTACAATACGTATGAAATAGAACTAGTGTAATCTAAAACCTTTTTAATCCTGTTTTATGTCACTGTACATATATAGTTAATCCTGTGTAATCTGACTCCTGGGTATTCCGACAAACTGTCATGTCTGACATATACTATAATCTCACGTATTAAAGTTTAACTTTATACACAAACATTGTGCTAATCAAGTGTGTCGCAATGTTTCAAGACTGACTGGTCCCAAACAATCTTATTTAAAATAATATAATCTCATGTATAAAAATTGTCAAATAAAACCTGTCTATTCTGACCAGCCAGTTTGCTGGATATGACGGTGTCAGATTACACAAGTTTCACTGTAAATTCATATACAGACTATTGTAAATACCCTCTTTTGAATTTTCATCTGATTGGTAAAAGAAAATCTTTTGTATTGAACCGCATCGTTCAGAAATAGGTTTAAGACTGTTTTATTTGAAGTCAAAGTATTGAAATTGTGACAAATAATCAACACTTTTATTGATTTGACAGATTTTTTTTGATCTTTTCAGAGATGGGGAAACCATGGTAACCGTGTCAGATGATAAAACAGCAAGAGTTTTCTCCCTTCACACACCAGATCGATGAGACAGACAGAACTCGGAACATGTTAACTTACGCCTTTAAAAATGTCACCTCTAGAGAGGTGAACAGACTGGTCACAATTATATCAGTGAACAGAGACGGACAGATAATTCGCCATTGTGTCTAAACGACTACTGGAGACAGAGCTACTTCTTACACTTGTACAGATCACAGTGAACTATGTATACTGGAGACAGAGCTACTACTTACACTTGTGGTGATCACAGTGAACTATGTATACTGCCATTTTAACTACACATTTCAAGGTCACAGGGGTCAAATATGTTTAAAACTTTAAACGACTTCTCCTGAAAATCCATAAGGTATAGAATGTTGATATCTGACCAGTAGCATGCTTGGATGAAGGGCTATCAAGCTGTTTTTAATTTGAATGACCTTGACCCACTTTAAAGGTCATTTTTATGCTGAGATTGATGAAGGGCTATAACGTTTGTTCAACGTAATGACCTTGTTCGACTTTCAAGGTCACAGGGGTCAAATGTTTTTAAAAATAGTCATAAATACTGATACTTTGCCTGTAGTTTTATTTTAGATCACTTTTAAGGTTACAAGTGTGAGTTAAATATCGGGTGAGGGATGCAGGCCCATTGGGCCTTTGTTGTACAAACGGTTAGTGTAGCCCCCCTGGGGGCAGAGGAAGGGAGCCCAATAAGGGATATAGAGGTAAAACCTTAAAAACCCTTCTACCGTTGAATTTTAGATTTTTTTATTGTCCCTGAGATTTGACAGGTAATGATGCCAAATAAAAATTAAACAGTTTCTGTCTGTATCTAGTTATAAATCTGCATGCGTTGTGAAAAAGTAATATGTTGCTAAAAAAGGGCATTAAACTCGTGTTGGTGGTCCTTCCTTCCGATGAAGGTCGACTGAGTATGACATGTTTGTGACGTCACAGTATGATAATCCCTGAACGAAGTTTCATGCATGTTAATTAGTATCGCATTCATTTTTATGTGATGGACTTTTTATCACTCAGAATGTATATTAGTTATCATCAAAAACTGAAAATGTAGAAATATAGCAACAATTCTGTTTACACTTATATTCTGTTTCTTTAGTCTCATTCTCTCGAGGATACGTCAAAGGAGAATTTCTACTTCAGATTTCCTATTGATTTGTTTCTCTGAATAAAAGCGTAATAAAAACGTGGAGATATTTACTATATGTAGTACATGTACATGCTGAAACATAATTGTCTTTGCTTCAAGGATGCACTTCTAGTATCCACATCGGACAGCTTCCCTCGGACGAAAATAATTCAGGGCAATGTATAAAAGGGAAGCAACCCTTACAGAGCTACGCTCTTATAACAAAAATAACGAAGAGGATAGATAAGATATAAATGACTTTTTATTACACACATCAAACTTTATTAAAGGGCTGTACACAAGGCAATACAATCAACTGTTAATCACTGACATTACAGGTAAAAGGAATTTAAGTCTATTTACATACAAATCTGTCAATACATTGAATACATTGTAAATGTAGTGTATTTACTGTGACAGTGTATTACACTTATAATAGTTGTATAATTACTGTGACAATGTAATACACTTGTAAATGTAGTATATTTACTGTGACAGTGTTATACACTTATACATGTAGTATATTTACTGTGACAGTGAAATACCTATAAATGTAGCATATTTACTGTGACAGTGTAATACACTTATAAATATAGTATATTTACTGTGACAGTGTAATACACTTATATATGTAGTAAATTTACTGTGACAGTGTAATACACTTATAAATGTAGTATATTTACTGTGACAGTGTATATACACTTATCAATAAAGTATATTTACTGTGACAGTGTAATACACTTATAAATGTAGTATATTTACTGTGATAGCTAGTGTATATACACTTATCAATATAGTATATTTACTGTGACAGTGTAATACACTTAGTCATAAAGCATATTCACAAAAAATATAAAATAATTTTCAGTGAAAAGTGAAGATTATAATTTGTGTTTTCAACATATTGTTACTATAATGTAACATACTTGTATACCTTAGATATTATACATTATTACAAAATATTACTACATTGTATTACAATGCAATAGGCGTGCATACATTAAATTGTAAATACCTTAAGTTGTGTACACTAATAACAAATATAACGTTTACATTATTTCATTGGAAACCAAAATATGTTCACATACAATAAATATTCAGTCATTTTCATGGTTCTCAATTTTCACATAATTTTTTTACATGGATGAAAATTTCTAATATTTTTTTGTAATAATTTCTCCCCAAGTGTCAACTGTCAAATATGTGTCCAAACTACCAAACAGGTGAAGGAATTTTATCACAAATTGTTCTGGAGAAGCCTTTGGCCTCGGGGACATTCAGTAAAAACAATTACAGCAAACAGTTTACTTTAATAAAATGTTACAAGACGGTTCCAGGGTCAAAGGCAAAACAAAATCACGAGTTCCATGTATATCCATCTATACCTGCAGGGATTGGGCCAAATTGGCTAAAATTTATACAATCGTCCTCTTCAGACCCGGATATGTTGAGATCAAATACTCTTTAGAGATAAAAGGGTATTATGGTGCTTTATCAAAATTATTAATTTCTATACCCTTGGAGACGGGGTCAATTATACTACAGTTTATAAAGAGAAATAACACTTTTGGTGTATTTTTTATATTTTCAGTTGGCAAGAATTAAAATTTGGTTAGTATTATCATCATGTCAACATGTGAATGGAGTTTGATGATATCAAAATTAAGATCCTGACAGGGATATGTCACCCAAAAGGGGTTGAATTGCCAAACTATTCAACACTCTTCTTCTTCAGAACCAGGTATACATGAATCAAATATTCATCATGGATGGAAGGTCTTGAGGTGCCTTATCAAAATGATGAATTTCACTACCCTAAGTCACCCATTTCTCCCTGGGGAGGGGGTAAATTTGACGATATTACATGGTTTTATCTTTTCATGTGTTTTTTCCTGAAAACTGCCAGCTATACATATGATATATGTTAGTCACTCCCCAAGATCATTTTGTCAAGGAAACCATCATAAAAAAATATATATTTGGATATATTGATACTATTTGATTTTGTCACATACCAACCACGAATAACAATTGTATTTCAACTCCGGTGACCATTAAGGTTACAATCAGATATATCGTCAAACGTTGATGTTTTAAAGCATTGACTCACAAATATTAAACATTGAACATCATCTGTACCTATATAAGACCTAACGTGATTGTGAAGGATCCCCGTACCACTGTCAAAAGCTGTACTTACACATTGAAATCCTGTACCTATATAAGACCTAACGTGATTGTGNGTGATTGTGAAGGATCCCCATACCACTGTCACGAGCTGTACTTACACATTGGGAACTGTTTTTCTCAACATTACTATATGTTTGATAAATCACTTCAGAAAAGAAACCATATCTTGCCAAACTTTATAGAAATAATAATGAAGATGAAATAATCAGAATATTATCAACAATGTTCTGAGTGTAAAAAGTTACCGAGGTTCGAACCCTGAACTTCAGGTTGTAATACTATTGCTCTAACCGATTGAGTTACTTGATCAACTGAAGCGTCCTGGACCAACTGTGCTACCGTTGTATCAAAACGAAACTAAGGGGAGGTCACTCTATATGTAATAAAACACAGTGCAGTGGGACAGGAATCCTTAAATGACGAAGTGAAGGCTCGGAAATTTAATTTAAAATCGAGCAATATTGGATTTAAAGTAATAAGAATAGCATGTTTATTTAACACACTGTAGTTTCCATGGTGATCTGATCAAATCCAACACTTCTCTGTTCATCAATTAAATTTCAGTAGCCTGTGCCAATGTTAACGGACGGGCTATTTTTTATCACTTTGATTTATCAGTTGTAATTTTCAATGTTTTTATAATGAACAGAACTTGATTGTACTTCAAAACAGCAAAAGTTTGACTCTAAAATGTTTGATTCATGTAATGTACAGAATATTTGTAGTGTTAAATCCAGACTTTACCGTAAGTTTGACAAATTGACTTTGAAGTTTGACTGTATGTCCCGTAAATTAACAGAAACATCATCCCAGCAAAATAACCTGATAAACGGTTAATAATTTCATCATAATTAAAAAAGTGTTATTACAATGTTTATACATTATAACAAAAATGGTATTAAAAAGTTATTGTATTGCCTATATTGTGTGAGGTCATTAGAACCTGGCATCAAATATTACGCTTCTCATTCCCGCACATTTTCGATACAACTATATTTTCATCATTTCGTCATTTTGCTTTTAAAAATCTAACTTACCACGGTATAGAAAATAAACTGGTTTTCCCATTGAAATATCACATATATTTCACTTGTATACCAGCATTGTGTAATACTCGTCATACTCGTAAAACATTCAGTGAGAAACAATTAAATATCCTCCACATATAGGTCACAGTGACCTTCACTTCTAGGTCAAAGGTCAAATAAGTACAAAGCAAATATGTATATTGAACTTATCAGCCAATATTCACAAAAATAATAATGTTAATTATTCACAAATTTAAGTTGGTTATCTACTACAGTAGAGAGCCGATTATCTAAACATTACAGGATAGATCTTCAATATAGATAAGTGGTCGTTCAGATAACCATTCACACAGTTTTAAAGCTATTTATTTATCATAGGACACGACTGAGCTTTGTTAAGAAGCTTATGTTTAGGTAAAAAGGTTAGGTACAAGATATATCATACACTATATAGTAACATCAACTTCTAGACTTGACTAGATTTTTGGACATTGCCAAGGTCAAAGGTCACATTTGAACACTTTTGAAGTAAAAGTTGGTGGACTATAGATATATCCTGAACCCCTCATTACAGATTTTGTTTATATTGACACCATAGTATAGTATCTCGACTATTTCCTGATTGGCGTCTGTGAAGTTTATCTGACTTTGTCTCTATCCCCCAACTGTTGGAAGTTAAATCAAGTCTGGTAGTTGTCCACTATCTGTTACCAGCTTTATTCCTTCTTAAAGTAAAATTATAAATAAAATTGTATAATCTTCTGGGGAAAAAACCCACATTGCTTTTTCTAGTGACACCTAAAGATACATAGGATAAAATAATAATACCCTACTCATAACAGTTCTAATGTACATACCATCTTCTATCTAACCACCATCGTCCAACTATCCAGCCATCAATAATCTTGTTGTCATATTATCCAGCCACCATTAGTCCTGTTGTCTCATACTCCAGCCACCGTTAGTCCAGTTGTCTCATACTCCAGCCATCATTAGTCCAGTTGCCTCGCAGTCCTGCCACCATTGTTTGTCCCACATTCCAGCCGCCGTTAGTCCAGTTGTAGCATTTCCAAACAAATGACCATCACATACACGGTGCAAGTTGTGGCAATCTCTCAAAAGAGCATCGAAGCAATTGGTATGACATAGGGCGATAATTGCTGCATTGATGAAGCAAACATTATTGCCGCTGTTCATGAGACCTTTAAATGTTTCTCTATTGACTGGTTTTTCTCTGATTATCATAATAACAAAAAATCACTAGAATGTTGAATAGATTTTCTCCAGTGATTATGATGATGTACAATCAGGGTAGAATGTTGACTGGTTGTTTATTGTGGTCAGTTTTGTTGGTCTGGTTCTGTGTTGTCATGGTAACTATACCTACTCGTTATGTCACAGGAGTCACACACTGCTGTACTGTAGTAGTTTAACATTCATCCCAAACACTGCCCACAGGACATCCTCCCTGTCTACACCTGCAGCACATGTCCAGTCTGTGTCTGTGTGTATGATCCTGAGGAACTTACCACCTCCACTGATGAGTAGGACTCTGTGGTTGTTCCAGTCCCCTATGATAATGTTCCCCACACTGTCATACACCACACCATAGGGGTCAAATGGTTTAGCTCCTTTATGTGATGATTGCTTATTTGTACTGGGGATGTCACCTCTATATACAAACAGTTCCTTGAAATCAGTGTCCATAACAACAAGATGTCGTATCCGATCACCACCATCGACCTTATCATTCCTATCAACCACTGCGACATTGTGAGTGACAGGACACTCTGAGATCCTCCGTGGTGAACACACTAATGGCTTCCCAGTCCCTCTAACACTTGTAGTGAGTACCATCTGACCTTGTGTGGTAAATTTGGAGATGTTGTTGGTCAACCCCACAATGACATGGTTACTGGCAGTAACAAAGATACACCTGGGTTCCTCCTTGGTGCTGAATCTGTGTTTTAGTTGACCTGATACCAGCTCCATGATGTTGTTTTCTATATCACAGACCCATAGCGTGTGTGTTATTGGTGACAGACTTATGTCTTTGATGCTAGTTTTGTGTTTGACCTGCTGTATGGCTTTCCCTTTACTGTCCAGGAGAGTTAATGTGTCCCTGCAACAGGTCCACACCTGACCATCAGTGGTGGGGCATATGGAATAATTAACAACAGGAGACCTCCAGTCCTCCAACACTTTGGTCTGTGGCAGTAGTTTGTACATAGTCACTGCCTTCTTTCCTTCTGGTTCTGACTGTTGTGATGTAGAGGATGGGTTCTGACCACCATATGTCATGACTGACCCATCCTGGTCAGTTGAATCTTGACCTTGAGCTAAGGTGCCAATTTTCCCTAAGGCCAGTTCTAGGTGATGTTGAGGGGTTTTGTTTGGAGTGAAACTGGCAGTACCCAGGACAGGTTTTACAGGGAGACTTATTTGGGAATGAATTTCACATCCTGTGTCGTAGATTTCTATGTGAGAACCATGCTGGAGTGCTTCTTTGCATTCCTGAATTTGTTGTCCTAGTTGCTTGTTATACATTTCAAGGTCCTGTTTGTATTTCTGTATAAGCTTAATATTATCCTCCTCCATTTTGTGGTAAAAAGAGAGTGTCTGTGCTGTTAGCAAGTCGAGATCTTGTTTTAATTTTTCTGTTTGCTTTTTCAACTTGTGAGAAAGATTCTCAAAGTTGCTGGTGTTGTCTTTAAGTAGAGTATCAGTAGACGTGATGTATTCCCTAAGTTGTACAAGGTCATTTTGTTCAGTTCTGTCAATAAAGTTTTGAATGTCTTGTTTCTTTGTAGGAGTAATATCGCTGAGTTCACAAACATCATGGCCTTTGTGAGTAGATAAATGACATTTTAGACAAACAAGTTTATCACATTTCTCACAGTAAAGTTCCAGTGGTCTCCCCTTGTGTTCAGTACAGGTACGGAGAGGGATTTGACCTGTGGGTGTTGCCATGTTGATGAAAAGGTTGTGGAGGAGACAATGAAGTTTATAAATAGACCCAAACAGCTTGTCTATTATATATTTAACTGATATTGAATAACAGTCACAAAATAGACTTTATTCTATGTCTCTAAATCTTGACTATACACCGAGCTCCAATCCAGGCACATGTGTTCATAAAACATAATTGTAAAGACACTAAATCATAACTACCTGATGCTCACGGATGTGGGTTACTAGGAATAGAAATCCAGGTTTTCCATTCCAAGCCTCAGAATGTCAACGTCAAGTAAACACAGGTACATATTGTAGTTGTTCATATCCCCAGTATTTGATTCATTGTCGAGGTAAACATCCAATATCTTATTTGTGTGAATTAGTTATTTGTTTCCTGGTTTAGAATTACGTTAAATGGTCAGTTACAAAGTCCAAACTGAATACGCCTTCAGAAAATATTACTTCCTTGTTTAGCGAGGTTGCCGATAGATTTTCCAAGAGGGTCAAGGTAGGTCATGTATATATAGACCGTGGTATTTGGTGTGTATAAAACCTACATGTTCATTGAAATGTTATGTGATTTTTTTTTTTTAAAGTTGTCAACATTTTTTCACATTCCATTAAAAACTTATTACTGTTTAAATATATCTTATGAATAATAAAAATAGTAGGATCCAAGGTGCAGGACCACGGAATTAGATTATCCAGAGACGTATAAAAGATTTCACAAAGTGATTAATTTATAATTGCTTGTTTTACTGAAAAGAGCAGACCAGGAAATTAAAATTACAATGTAAAAAAATGATATAATATTAAATATTTTCTCCAATGTATTTTTCACTTGATGGTTGTTATCTCCCCCTTTTTCTACAGTTACGTCTGTTACAGGCCTGTGCACGCCATCCCCGGCGCCCTTTCATGGTCATGTGAACATGATTGGCCATGGAAAGGGATTAGGTGTGCAGTGGACTGTGGCAGCAAGTGATTTATTACCCACACTTTTCCATTATGAGAGGTGGAAGTATGTAAAGATTATTGCATGGTTTTCGAGTAACAAGGGATTCATTACACCCGAGCGAAGCGAGGGTGTAATAAGTTCCGAGTGACGAGAAATCATGCAATAACTGGCTTACCGCATGCTTCCCAACTCGAACAAAACAGAAAAATTGGACAATCTTTTTACCTACCCTACACTGCAGATAATTTACATGTACCTGTGTGAGTGAGTACTAATCAGAACCAGGTAAGTTTGTCTTTATTCTCAATAGCCAAGTCTGAGTCTATCCTTCATAATGGATACAAGTGTTTTTGGATTACTATCCAGCTCCAGTGTCAGGGAAGGTAATTAAGGAGTGTCTGTTCAACAATTAGAACAAAATACTGGAAACAATGTTGAATTTCTGACTACAATTTCTGTTTAATTTTCAAGATGTGGCAAAGGTACAGGATATTGAAACCATTTTCATATATACAACGTAAGGGTTTATCAATCCCTAATGAATTCCAGTTTTTTCAATGAATGGTATATTTGAATGTACATTTTTGTATAAAGAAATAGCTCCTAAAGATTATAAACCTTTCCAGGAAATGCTTATCCTCTCAGGTGATAAGGAAATCAAAAACGCTGCAAACTCAGTAATTTTTATTGTTGGTTTTAATAATGAAATTACCATTTTTGACTTATTTTTTTTTTCTTATTTTAAATGTGTCAACTAAGTTTATTCTGTCCACTTAATCTGTTCATTCTGTAATTTAACCTCAAGAAAATTGCAACAGAATATTTTACGACTATTTCCTTTTAGTTGCTTGTATTTGAGTTTGTATTAAAAAGTCTACCAAAATCAACCTTCGGGAAAATAGTTAATTCCCGCATCAAAAAAGATAAATACCAACGAGTAGAATATGGCACCCACGGGCCGCCGTACATCAAGAAGAGCTCGCAAAGCATGCTAGTGCCTTTGAAAATATTCAGAAACAAATCGACGATAACGGAGCCATATTATTTCATGGTAAGTTGACAAATGCACATTTATTTAAAAATGTAATTTATAATGATGAAAATAATAGCAGTTGCCTTCCAATATACGTTTAACATGCCCATCAACCATACATTGTGTAGCGTCGTCTGCTATGTAACTACGGCCGCACCAGCAGAGAACATGTGTGTTAAACACGACCGATAACCATATTCCTGTCTTTAATAAATTTATCCAACATTGTTACAATATTATTAGAAACATAATTATGTGAAAATTATATCGAAAAGTGGAAAATAAATAAAAACCTTGGACCCTCCTTGATGAAATAGAAAATGTATGGAAGCCCATGTATGACGTGATGTATAATCATTTGCGTAATGCGTACGCAATTTGCAATTCATTACATTCATTACGTTTTACAGCCAATCTTGCGATATTGATATCGAAACAAGTTACCTATTTCTAAAACACCCGATATTGACATTTCTCGTCTTGATTTCATTAGTTTTACTGTTTAAAGTCACAAAATTAACTCTTTTAACCGGCTTGTAACTTTTTTTTTGTCTGGGGAATTGGTGAAAAACGGAGAAGTAACTGTGCACTCGTTACTTACTTATANGAACCAGGAAAATTCAGCAAATGCAGATGTAATTACTTGAAATATATAGGAATTTAAACAACNTCTCCCATATGGTCAAGCATATTAAAAAATGTACATTATATACAACAATGATAAAATAGTACTATGAATAGTTAAAGGGACATCACGTGAAGAGCCATATTTTTTTTAATGAATGTATGTATTGTATGCACTTCCACTTATGTTACCTCGCTATCCCCATATTCATAGTCCGTTCCAAATGTCCAGTTTGACCACTTGAATTGTTCGGGAAAGCCCTGCTAAAAATAGCGGCGATAACGTCACCTGACTAGGCATCGAAACGGTTTCCAAAGGGGCCCCCAGAGAGGGGCCGTAAGGCAACTCGCACTATGAAACCAAGTAATATGATTTTTAAGTCCGTATTCAAACTTATTGAACAGTAATTATTCATCATCAGAAGTTCATTGCACACTTGCCAATATTCAGAATTTAAATTTATTTAGCTTTAAACATATTTGTTGCCAATAAAATTAAACAAGGGATAGGGCACAAGTTTTTACAATTTATCACAGCCTTCTCCCGTCATACATTTACAATTAAATGTCAACAATGATAATAGTCATAAACATAAATTAGATATATATAAATATATATTGAATTTATTACCTAAACCAAAGTAAACTCTCTCCGATACATGCCCATTAACATATTAAACTAAGTTCAACTGTGTTCAAACTCAGACTAAGATACTAGCGAGGTTAATAGTTTTAGATATTTATTCATAACATAAACAGCGATAGCAGTCATGTCGATTCCATTTCAGCTTAAGGTGGCTCCACCCTTTCGCAATTAGCCATCAGAATTCAATGAAAGTTTCACATGATGGTTATGTCACTATGTAGAGATGATTTTATGAAAATCTAAGCATTCCGATAAACTGGGGATTTATTTGTAAAAAATACCGAAAAATTGAATTTTTGTCAAATTCAACACTTTCACATTTTTTGAGCATGTGGCATTGTTCAAAACTATTACAACAATAAAATAATGAAAAGAAACATTGCTAATCAACCCTACAAATATTTTATTTATCATAAAATATCTACAACATGTTACAAAAAGCGTTTTTTATTGAAACTATATGGATAAAAGTTACTAAATACAAGCCAAAATCAAACAGGACACATAGTTACATACAAAAAGAGTGAAAAATTGAACCAAATACACACAAAGTCTTTATAATTAATTTATTTTACATTTTACAATTATTTTGATCCTGATGAGAGTTGTCTACCTTGAAAAAAATCGGAACTTTTTGCAGAGGGATAGAATTTATACAATGACACTTATTTTATTTAATATACCAAAAACGACGGAAATAAATTAAATTACTATATTTATTTGTCAATTTACTGTTCTTTTATGGAACAAAATTACTCTCAATCATGTACACTTTGGACATCATTCCATAGCCTGCTTACGCATGGTATATTAACATGTCAGGTACATATGTAACCATAGGCTATCGCATGGTATGCCGTTATTACGTGCACGCACATGCACTTGCATTTTATAGGGATCTTGATATTTTACAAACCACTATTTTCACAGAGTTATTGTAATTGCATTTGTGAACCGATTTATCTGACAGAGCGTAACTCGCTCGACAACAAAAGTCGTAGCGACCAAGAGCTTGTGAACTACTGTTAGCACGTGATACGTACAGGTGAGGTCGGTAAACAAAACACATCAGTCTGCATTCCAGGCGCCTCATATACGACCTTCTTGAAGTCGTCTGATCGTATGTCAGTGTTTTCCCGTGAGTTAATTAATGTCTTTGTATCATAAGCTTTATTTCTGAAGTACGTGTGATTACACATTTCCAAGTTAAGTCTAGATATCGGGTGTTGACATATCACGTCACGCACGTGTACTATTGTTTATCCGGTGTTACTATAATTTACACTACGGTAATGGAATGCCCGATACGCAATACGACAAGAAAAACATGTGTATTACGAAGGGTGGAAACTCCTTAACCAGCTATCCGTAAGAATACATGCACCGTACTAACTGCTAGGGCAGTTATTTTCTCCTTTGAATACTTCCCACCTGCAATAATGATTCCGAAACGTGCTCCTTGCGCTATATTTTGACCATTTGGCAACTTTTCGCTTCGTAGCTGACACGGTACAACACTTTTCTTTCGCTTACTTCACACGGCCAGTCATTTTGTTTACAAAGAAATGGTGTGCTATGCGCATGCGCTAGTAGAGGGAAATCCCTGAACAAAACGTTGGTCAGACAGGTAGAAAAAACGATGATTATCTTAGATTTAATAATTTTTATGAATCTATTTCAGCCAAATCCAATCGTTATTTTCCATAAGGAGTCTCACTTCATATGTTTATGTAGTATTTGAAAAAAAGACACAAAAAAAAGTTACTTCACCGTGATGCCCCTCAATTATCACAGAAAGAGCTCTAAATGAAAAAATGACCCGAGCTTTCCAGCGGTGGGGGAGAGCCCTACCAGCATGGTCAGCCCAGGTTACATTTTAACTGTTCAACAGTTACATAAATAAAGGCTAAATTACACAAATTACAAAAATGATGAGCATACATGTTTTCCAACCCATAAAATACATTTTAGCACATTTCTTAAAAGATAATAGACTTTTGCAATTCTGTACATATGATGGTAAACTATTCCATATATATGGACCTTGATATGTAAAAGACCTTTTAAAAACATTTGTTTTAAAAGATGGCATATAAAATACATTCCGTGTTGATGATCTGGTAGTTCTTGAATGGATACCGGATGTCAAAGTAAAATTGATCAAGTAATCTGGAGCCAGGTTGTTTAAGACTTTGTACATTAAAATACATAG